CGATATTCAAGTAGGAGTACCCCTCGGGCATGTCGACAGGATTCCCCTGGTCGGCAACACTGCATTTCTTCTTTGAAGCGGTGCCCTTCGACTTCTTCTTCCCGGGGGCCACCCGTAGAGGGACTGCGTTCAGTGGCCGAGAGGTGATGGCCTCACCAGCGTCGCGAGGGGGGAGAACAGCGACAGTGACCCTCACACTCTCTCTCTCTGCGCCTCTTCCTCAGCCGCTTGCCAGGCAAGGGCCAGCTCCTCATCCTCGCACTCTTGTTCGAAGCCCTCGGCTTCCACCTCAGCGACGAGGGCTCTCTGCAACTCCATCGCCACAGCAGCATCATGCCCCACCGAAGGCTGTTCACTGGAGGACTCCACATCGAAGACGGTTTCATCCTCAACCGAAGGATCCCTCGAGATGTCCTGAGAATCGCTCTGGGACGACATCTTGGTACGCTACAAGGACGGTACTCTACACCAAGGGTTGCCTACAGAATTCTAACTCCTAATCTTAGGACACAGGGCACAGCTAACTAAGAGAGGAGAAGAGCATGTGGGAACTGACCTTGGAACGAGAATTAGATCGAGGGCAGGTGTTTCTCTCTCTAGAAAAAATCCGCCAGAGCTTCGCTACACTGAAATCGCACAAAGGGAAGTGGCCTGGCCTTGGGGTATTTATAGGTGCCCAAATCCGGGCTTGGGCCTGAAAACCGGGCCTCCGGTACAAAGTCATCATTGCCAACCGACGAGTTGCCCAATCAGTGACGCCCGCCCACGGGCTGCCAACGAACACGCACCACGTGGAAGCCCCCCCCCCAACGGCTATATTTTTGACGTTAGGTATTCCAACGGCTATATTTACAACGGCTATATTCTGGGAGCTCCCGGCTATATTCAGCAGACCACTCCTTCATCAACCAAGAAACTAGCCCCCGGGCTTTTTACTTCACTTCGCTTCATCAAGAGGAGCCCCCGGGTACACTTACCCAGAGATGCTCCCGGTTTGTGCCCCTCATACTACATCACAAAGGCCTTCGGGCTTACTCCTTCAGAAGCCCACGGCTTCATAACGGGCACACCCCTCGGGAACCATCGGCCCTCAAACACATTGAGGACCACGAAGCCCTCGGGGGAGCACGCCTTCATCAAAAGGTGCCCCCCCCCCACTCACCAACAAACAAGGAACCCCTCGGTAACACCGGAAACATTACCCACATTCATCACGCCCTCATTCTCATAATTCGGGGGCTCCCCCCTCGACATCTCTCAGGATAACAACAGAGACCCTTCGGGAAATCAGCATGCGTGCCTTCAGACAGAGATAGCCTTCGGCACAAAAATGGTCACTCATTTCAGGCCAGGGTTGTACCTTTTCGACTCATCATTGGGGGAATTCGGTGCACTCTTTATCCCTCATTGAAATTAATTCGGTGCACTCTTTATCCCTCATTGAAATTTTTTCCCACAGGGGTTTTTCCAATGAGGTTTTTAACGAGGCATCCCCCCAAAATGAAACGAAAAGCGTCACCCCTCGGCTTCATATTACAGGCAGGCACTACTCTACTCCTTTTCCCCACTTTGCAAGTGCCTCAAGGAGTGAGGGACTGGAGGACCCCTCCGGGAAAATCTCTAAAAATACAAAAAATGCCAAAAACTCCCACAAACAACGAGCATGATCCCTCAAGTCCCGGAATGTGGGTAACTGAGGGACTGTCCTCGGCTGAAACGTGCACACAACAAACCACTCACAAACTCTACAGATTACAACGGAACAACACCAAAAGGGCAAACACAGATTACTCCTTTTCCCTCAAGTACCTTTCAGAAAAAGGAGTGAGGGACTCCTGATGGAGTATATGGCCTAGGACCCCCAGCCCATAGACTCCTAATTATTCTAATGGAGGATCAATAGGCCCAGGAAGCGCAGCAAGCCCAAATCATGGCGCCCGAAGTACTAAGCAACCCACGTGGCGCACTAGGTGTGCCTTCGGCCCCCTGGCCGTAGGCTCCAATTCTCACAGGATGGCCAAATCAGGAAAACAAAGTTACTGGGAGAAAACGGCGAAAATCAGTAGCCCTCGGCACCTAGATCCCTCGGCACTGAGGAGGTCCCCGGTACTCAGAACCCTCGGCCAATCATCTACAGCCGAGGGCACCTTTTCCGACATAATATCCGCTCCACATGCGCAGGGATCACCGTACCAAGTACGACGTCCCATCCAACAGCCGCATTAAATGCGGCCACATGCGATTGCCAGCGCCAAACAGTTGAGGTGACCCCTCGGCCAATGGATGCTTGACACGTGTCTCTATCTGGCATTTATTACTACTATAAATAGCGCCCCATCTCCCCATTTGTAACCCAGAAGCAAAACACGCTCACTACTTCCTCAGTAATATAATCTCTCTCTTACTTTTGCTATGACTTCTCTCTAGTTATTCTCCGCAATAACCCTTCGGATAAGCTACCCCCCGGGTACACTATCCATCAGACAAAAGAGGAGCAACTCCACATATTTTATCTACGCTCTTGTCTACATTGCTGAGTAAACACAAAGACAAAGATATCTGCGCTACAATGCTGATTGAACGAGATTGAACACCAAGGGGGAGATTGTTGGGAAAAATTTATGGTGTCCAATCTAGTTAAATATCTTTGTATTTGTGTAGTTATTATTAATTAAATGTGTAATATGGGCCAAAAATGTATTTCAGCCCATTAGCCCTCTTGTAAGCCTTAAGTTAGACATCCTTATGTATAAAAGGATGCTAACTTAAGAGAAACCCTAAGCTTTAAGAGAATATTCACATGTAACAGTGAAAATCAGTTGTAGAGAAAGAGGTGAGTGTTGTTTCATACATTAAAGCTGTAATTCGACATCCTTCTGGTATTGAATCAGATTCTTTTGTTCTCTACTCTATATTATTTTTATGATTGTTGGATAAAATTGGGAAAACAGAATTCAAGAACAGATCCATATTCCAACGAAGAGTTTGATGAAATCAGAAATGTGTGAGCTAGGTTTTTTGTAGATGAAGTTATCAATATGTAGGATTTTTAGACATTGGAGGATTTTAAAGCATAATGAATTTCTTTTAATTATATTGTGATGGCATATTTGAACTTTTATGGAGTTGAATTCTAACTGAAACAATTTGTACGTTTAATATGGAGTTTACGAATGAATGGTCATGTAATGTCTTTTATTAAGTGTCTTGTATATAAAACAAGATATATGAGAATTGCAAAACCTGCATTTAAAAAAATAAAATTAGAGGCGCTTCCTTAAAAAAAAGCGCCTCTAATGTGTAATTTCCGAAAATTTTAGAGGCACTTTTAAATTATAAAGTGCTTCAAATATTGTTTAAAGTTTCCGTGTGTGCGGCTCTTCTAGTAAAAAAAGCGCCGCAAAATATCAAAAAAAAATATAAATTTAAAAAAATTCGAGACGCTTCTCACAGAAAAGCACCTCCAATCAAGCATTTGCGGCGAAAAAATCGGAGGCGCTTCGAAGCGCTGCACGCGCCTGTCCAGAAGCGCCTCCAATCGCCATTTTTCCACCAGTGAAAATAACAACACATGTATATGAAATGTAACGCAAAGTATACAAACTTAAAAGCAAAATACATCTTCACTTTAAAAAAATAGAGATTGCTAATAGAAAATTAGTACTTTTATCCAATAGAGTATCGGTTTTTGTAGAAGCGTATAAGTCCACACTCCATGCTTCTTTCTCTTGCATAGAAAACTCGTACTTCCTCCGTTCTTAAATAAATGCAACGGTCAACATTTCACACTTGTCGAGACACAACTTTGACCATTAATATAAATGATTTTGTTTTAGTAAAAAAATTAAAAAAATAGATTATGAAAATTTACAATGAGACAAGTTTAACAATATTTTTTTCATAAAATAATATTATTACATTAATAAATAAAACGTAGTCAAAGCAGAACATGTGAATAGTGTAAAAGTCAAAGTGTTGCATTTATTTAAGAACGGATGTAGTATATTAGACTAGAAATTAGGTCACAAAAATGTCTTTTGGACTATTGAGAGTATCAAAGCATATTATATATGATAATGATATAATAATATTAATAATATGCTTCCAAAGCATATTATTAATAATGATATATAATATTAATATAATAATAATATTATTACGACGGTTTTTCAATAACTGACGTTAAAGGGGTGACGTAGTATGTCATTCTTGTAGTAGTGCCTACTGAGCTCAATACACACTTTATTTATCACTATGTATAAACTGTCAAAATGAATATTACTTTTGGGGTATCGATCTCGTTGTCTTGATCAGTATCACTTATACATTAGGTATGAAATAATGTGTATCTTTTTAATTAAGGAATTACAACTAATAATTTTATGTAAGGAATTACAACTAATAACTTTATGTATGTCTGTGTGTGCACGCGCAAATACATGGAGTATATATTAGTTTGTATTTTTTTTGAAGTATTATAATTAATCATTTTTTGTATTAGTGTGTATACTGATAAGAAATTTTAAACGGGTACGAGTCTTTAACCGATCGGAATCATATGCATCATACCCGATCCGTTTATTAAAACTACTAACGGATTCGATCCAAGTCCGAGTAATCGAATAAAATATAGACTCATACTCATAAAAAACAACCGAATCCGAGTCGGATCCGGGTCTAGACCCGACCTATTGACAGGCCTAATATTGGCCGTGCAAAGGTGGAATATAATTGGAAATACTGAAAGAGATTAAACCTCAAATTTGTCCATGTTCAAAGGTTGAATATAATTGAAATATGTTTGAAGATTAAAACTTGTCCCGATTCAACGGTCGAATTTAACTGAAACATCAAATATGTGACCAATTATAAATTTCATTAGACGTAGTATGATATATGCAAAAAGTATTTTTCTTTTTCTTTTTGCGATGCAAAAAGTATTTTTCGATCATATTCAAAACCAAAATTACGTGAGAATTAAATTAGGAATTATATGAAAATTGAACTAAGGGTATTTCAACATAACTAAGGTAATGAACATTGTTATTATCAAATTCAATTCAATGAATGAATGGGGAGAAGTTCGAGTTCAATTCAACTACTACGTACGTTCTCTCTATCTGTACACGAAGATCAAATTAGGAAACTAATCCTCGCAGTAATTATGTTTAATTCAGAATTAACAATCAAATTTCAATAAATAATGATTAATTAAGCACGTCTTCCCGAAACGATGAACGCGATTGCTTGACCGGCACGGGACTTTCTATTTCGTGGTCAACGCTTAAGCGAAGCTCCAACTCCGGTGACGGTGGCAATTCGTTCAGGTCAAATTCCATCTTCACACGGCTCGAAACCCCAGCCGCGCCTTCGGAGAATGTGACGGCGCTTCCACTGCGGCCACCGTCTTTACTGCCGCCGCCGAGTTTCCCCTCGTAGTGGCGGCGCTTGTGGCCTCCCAGAGCTTGACCGGTGGGGAAGGACTTGTGGCAGATGGAGCACTCGTGGGGCTTGCCGGTAGGGTTCAGGGCGGAGACGTTCGACCCCGCCACCGCCACCGTGATGGAAGCTGACGTGGAGGGGTGGCTCTCGTCGGCGCCGAGGATGTGTTTGCGGTGGCTGGCCTTGTGCCCACCAAGTGCTTGATAGGAACAAAAGGATTTATCGCACACGGTGCACTTGTAAGACAGTTCTTGATCCGCCGCCGCCGCCGCCTCACTTTCCACCCTCTGTTTCTTTCCCGGGTCAGGGGCGGTGGCGCCACTTCTAGCGAGCATGACAAGACAGAGAGCGAGATACTCTTCCTCTGTCTCAGGCTGCGGCAGGCTCTCTGTGACCGGACGCTTGGAACGCTTTTTCTTGAAATTCTGAACATCAACCGCCGCGAGTGGCGGCGGCGGTATCTTCTGCGCCAGCGCCTTGACGGATTGCAAAGCCATATATCAAAAGTGGGGAAAAAGCCAAGGATCGGAGAGAATAAGGGAATTGAGGGAAAACCAAGTTTGAGTGTGAGTGAAGGACTGAGGAGAAGAATAAAATAATTTATATATATAGGCTAGGAAGAGGGAAGGTATGGACAGGAGGGAGTTGGAAGTTGCGTATAGAAAGGCGGTGGAGGAGTTGTACAGGTTATACCTTTGATTATACTTCCTCCACCTTCACATATGCTTTTACTTAATTGGAACTTCTCACTTTAACTAAAAATTACTCCCCTGAATTTAATTGAATGGTTAGCTTAACATCATCTAATTTGGGACGTTTATAAGTGGGTTGAAATTATACAGTTTAGTCTGATTTAATATGTTTAAATCTAGTGTAAGTTTGGTTTAATATGAGACGGAAATTATTCTAACTAAAAACATTCTTAGTTTTATTTATTTAAATCAGGTCAGGTTCTCATTTATTTGAATAAGACACGCATAATCGCATTATGAATATTTTTAGTTCCTCAATTATCTAATTTAGTTATCGAGATTAAATGAGTGTTTGCAATTGCTTATACTATGAATAATGAATTTTTAAGTGACTTTAGAGTGTTAAATTATTTGAGCTACTCTTCTTATCATGTTGATCTTTTAGGATGAAATCTCGAGTCTTAATTAACGTGGTATCAGAGTCAAGTCGTGTTGTGGGTTGACTGCATGTTTAACACTCATGATTAATGGTAGCTTATCAAGGGTATATTTGATCCATTTATACATCCCTATACTGTCTAGCCCAGTTCGGACTAAAGGGAATGTTAAAGTATTTATCTCAACCGGAAAGTTATAAAATAATAAAACACTATATAAGACTATGAGATATTCTTCCTATTATGTTGATCTTTTAGGATAGAATCTTAAGTCTTAACATAGAGAAAGTGCTTAATGATGAAAGTTGAAAGTGGAATGTTTTTTATAAGAGTAAAAGTATGTGGTGTTTGATAAAATGAACTTTGTTATACTTCGTATAATAGAAAAAGTGAAAAACAATTTAAAACACTCCTCCTTCTGCTTCTAGTTTTTAAATTTAGTAAAAGTATTTAAGTAAAAATTGTCCGGTAAAACACTAATTTCAACTTTTCTATATAAAAAATTTAAAAACATTTTTTAAATGCCATCTTATTTTCCTATTGAAAGCCTTTTTAATTTCTGAAAGGTTCCTATTGAAAGCCTTAAAATTAAATGTTCGCCAATTCTCGTTGCTTCAAGTCTTCAACGTCATTAAAGTCTTTAACTTTTTGTCCATTTAATTTACATTATTCAGAACAATCCACAAGATTATTACTCCGTATATTAATTTATTACGTACATAATAAATGTGCGATTTTGTAGTAAATAACCTGCACGAAAGGTTGATTAATGTACTCAATGCCCATACTTTTCTATTAATTATTATATGCATGCGTGGAGTAGTAATAAGTGTTGGGTTTGTATTTCATTTGGACTCGATCGTACTTACTATTTTCGATCTCACGCATGTGAATGTTTTAATAGTCAATATATCTCTACTTTATGATATTGGTTTCTTAAAGCATGCAAATATTAGACTTCGTATGTTGTTACTTAATTATATATTTTTGTGCACGAGTATGTGATGTGCACATTATTAGGATTTTGCATCATAAACCCTACCCACACGGGTTATCAATTATGTCATTAGGCAAGTTGCTTAAGCAGTGTTCGCCATTGTTTATAAAAAAAATCAAAAAAATAAAAAAAGGCTAACAATATAGTCAGCTAGAATTGAATATCATAAATTTCATCAGAATCAGCTAATTCATTCAATTTTAGTGTTATCAAACGGCTTATAATCTATCCCTCTAAATTACGAGGCCGTTTGGCAACCCTCATTTTCGGCTTATCAGGCTTATCAGTCAACTTTTTTACCAAACACGTAAATTTTGCTTTCGCGCGCTGAATTGTGTAATAAGCCGAAAAAGTAAGGTTGGAGTTACTTTTCTGGCTGTATTGGCTGAAGTTACTGTAGATGACCATTTTAGCTATTTTTACATATATTTTTTTCTTTATTTTATTAATAAAAAATATTTTAAAAATATTTTTTTCTTGTATCAGCAGAATCAGCCAATGCAACCACTTCAGCCAGAACTTCATAAATTTCAGCAGAATAAGCCAGAACAGCCGATTTTCGTGCTGCCAAACGGACTCTACGTCTTAACTCAAGCAAACGCAAACAAACACTATCTAAAGATCTGTTTGGTAATCATGTTTTCCAACTTAACAAAACAATGTCTAAAGATCTGTTTGGTAATCTATGTTTTCCAACTTAACAAAACAATGTCTAAAGATCTGTTTGGTAATCTATGTTTTCCAACTTAACAACTTTATCAGACTACTTTTTTATCAAACACTTCATTTTTTATTTCACGCGATGAATTATATAATAATCAAAATGGATTGAAGTCACTTTTCCAACTAAATTGACTGAAATGCCTATAGAAGAATGTTTTAGCCTTTTGTCATCTATTTTGTTTCTTTATTATACCAACAAGATGATGTTTTTAATTGAATTGGTTTCAGATCAAATCAAACTTTTACAATTATATAATACAAAATTGAGTAAACATCTAACAATCGAGATTGATTGAGACTATACCTCACTAGAGTATTATAGTCCAAATAAAAACATTCTAATTTACCGATCCGTCTTTTGTCTTGCCTCTCTAAGTGTTTGGTTGATACACGGGCCCACCAGCTAGTATGATCTAGATAGCATCAAGAAAGCCGCCTAATTACTATACTTGGTATTCCGAATTATAAAGTGGGCGTCACTCCCTTGATTATTTATAACTTCCTCAACTTAGTCACGTTTTCTATCGCTATCCATATGCAAAGTGGACGAATTCTAGAATGCATTATTCCTCTTCACAAGTGATGTGGATCATTTCTACATCATAGATGACGAATCAGAGTTCAGGCGTACGATCTTGAATACTCCTATATAGGTGTTAGGTTCGAAAATAAATTCAGCGTGCATGAATAAAAAAGAAAGATAAAGGAAAAATGTCTTGGATGCAATGGAAGCAATACGTGTGATGATTGGCATTTCATAACTAAAGTCAGATTTGAATTGTATAAGGGTGTTCGAATTTATTTCTTAAAACGGTTTCAGCTCATTCAAGGAGCAAAAGCAGATATTGGAGTACGTGTTTAGGTGGCACTACATAAGTACTTTTGGGTGCTCTAAATTATTCCTTTGAATAAGGTTTTTAGAAGTCGGAGGAAACCGGTTTCTAGGAACCGATTCTGATTATACTTTTGTTTTTAAAATAGAACCAGAAGTAGAATCATTTTCAAACCCCTCAGATGTTTGAAAATGGTTACGTTATATTACCGTCCTTACAAATCATTCACAATCTCTATAACTTTTCAATGTTTGAATGCGATTGGTGAATCCGATTCTTAAATGAGACCAAAACCAGCTGGTTGTCATATATATCGAACATCGGAACTGGCTCACTGAGAAACCAACCGGGTAAATTGGATTCAACCCAGTCTGATCTTTTTTTTATGAAAGGAAACAGCCAAATATATAAATCAACTCATTGTTCGCCAAAAGGGTCATAACATTTTTTACTAAATTAAAAAACTAAAACAGGATTGTCATATTTTCTTAAATAAGAGTAATTACTACCAAGTTTAGAAAATATGTTCAAAATATGGTAATACCAAAATACGGAAATAATTATTCCTATTTAAGAAATTCAAAAATGATAATCCTATTTTAAAATATACAAATGTTTTTAGTCGTATTTAGAGTCATGTCCTAAAACTTATTAGCCGTATGATTAGATTTTGTTTTTTTAAATAAATAATAAAAAACGAACGACTAAGCACTAATTCGAAGGGTGACCCAGAATTCTAATCAAGTTGATTACTGGTCCAAGTTAAACAGATATTCCACTTGTATCTGAGCATCAAAAGAAAGCGGAAAGCGGTGAGTCGAGGGAGTGGAAGATTAATATTATTAAAATTATTTAAAAATTAAGATTATTAATTTATTATTATTATTATTATTATTACGGAGTATTATTATTTGTAGTAGTAGAAAGTTAGTGTATAGTGTGGTAAGACTCCATCACCCATCCCGGCACGGCGACACGCAACGCGGCGTAGAAGCAGTAGGACGACACGTAAGCGGTGAAACCGTTTCTTTCTTCAAGATTAAGGCGACACCTGTCAGTTATAGTTGCTTCTCATCTTCTCAAGTATAGGTATGGGATAATCGTTCAGGCAGGTAACGGGTTATCCAAGACTAGGTCCAAAAGGTGGAACCTCCACCACAGCAGCTCCCACCCGACCGGACAGAATGGTGGGGTAAATCACGGTGACTCAGTCAGTAAAACGGCAGTATGCCTTATCCCGTGCGCACAAGAGGTCCAACCTTATTTCAGGTTCTGTAACCTCCACATTGCTGTGCGGGTTTCGAACATTGGACACTAGGTCCAATTTTTCCACCACTCAACCTCAACCAACTGAGCTTCCCGTGCGGGTGGGTTATCCAAGACTCAATTTTCCAGTGTGTGCATGTTTTTTCCTCCGCTTTTTATTTTGGAAAAAGGTTCAAATAAACCTTTATACAGAGTATTATATATTTTCAAAACGTCACTTAAGTCACTGTCCAAAAAAAGTATCATATAAGTACGCATACTTTACAAAATGCAATCAATTTGATCATTTAATCAGCTTTTCACCTGTAATAATAATTTTTAATACTCAAAAATTCTAAAAAATTGTTAAAATTTGTAGAAATATATACAAAATTTGTGAAAATTTTGAGAATATCAAAATCAATAATTTTTAATTTTTAAAAATATTTGTATATTCGACATCTGTTTAAAAGGTTTTTAAAGTTTTTGTTTTTTCTTTTTTTATTTTCACATTATATTTTATTTTATAATTTTTTTAATTTTTTACTTTGATGTTTTTAAAATTTTATCTATTTTTATATTTATACTATTTTTATATTACTATTAGAATATTTATTAATATTTATTTTCAAATTTATATGAA